CTCCCGGAGCTACCGAGCACTACCGAGGCCGCTGTGGACGCTGGACTCGTCGATTCCCCTCGCTTCCTATGAGCGCGCTCTTCCTCTACGCTCTCTTCATCGTCGTCGCTTCCACCGGACACGACTGCGTGGGGCTCACGGCGCCCGATAGGCGCTTTGACGGTACTCCGGTACTCTGAGACTACCGAGCACTACCGAGGCCGCTGTGGACGCTGGACTCGTCCATCCGCCGCTACCTATGACCGCGCTCTTCCTCTACGCTCTCTTTATCGTCTTCGCTTCCACCGGACAAGACTGCGTGGGGCTCACGGCGCCCAATAGGCGCTTTTTCGGTACTCCCGGAGCTACCGAGCACTACCGAGGCCGCTGTGGACGCTGGACTCGTCCATCCGCCGCTACCTATGAGCGCGCTCTTCCTTTACGCTCTCTTTATCGTCGTCGCTTCCACCGGACAAGACTGCGTGGGGCTCACGGCGCCCGGCAGGCGCATTGACGGTACTCCCGGAGCTACCGAGCACTACTGAGGCCGCTGTGGGCGCTGGACTCGTCGATTTCCCTCGCTACCTATGAGCGCGCTCTTCCTCTACGCTCCATCCATCGTCGTCGCTTCCACCGGACACGACTACGTGGGGCTCACGGCACCCGGAAGGCGGTTTGACGGTACCTTGAGACTACCGAGCACTACCGAAGCCGTTCTGGACGTTGGACTCGTCGATCCCCTCCTCCCCGCGCTACCTATGAGCGCGCTCTTTTTATACACTATCCCCGTCGTTGTGGCTCAGGCCCTCGCGGGCGGGAACGACTATGTCCGGCTCTCGGAGTCCCCGGGCCTCTCGAGCTCTACCGAGGTTGTCATGGACGCTCATCCTATTCAGCTTGCTGCCACCCATTAGTCTTACGGAGTTGAGACATCTATTCGGTCAAGCTCGGCGCTCTTCTACCGTCCCCCTGAAACTACCTGCGAGCAGAATTGAATGCACCTACCGCACGGCGTTCGTCTGATGCTCTCACGGTGCCCTGGGCCTACCGAGCTCTACCGAGATTATTGCCGACGCGTCTCTCGTTAGTTCAATTCCCGCCGGTTCAGGTTTCGGCCGCCATCCTTCTGCAACTCTTTCGACGGTCAAGACGCGCAGACTCGTTCCAATTCACCGCTTGTATATTTTCTAAGTGCGGTTGCATACCCCATGAAAAATAAGGATGTAATAAGTCAGGACTTGCGATGTCCGGCCATCAACATGCCAGGCGACCAGCAGGCACGCGTCGAGGACATAAGAACTGTACGTAGGAAACTGAAACTGATCAATCCGGTGCTCTTGTCCTCACGGAGGATGTTAGCATACGACGACGCTTCCGCGCTGTACAAGCCCATATGGGTCACAGTGGCCGTCATTAGTCCCCTGGATGATTGCCGTCCTCCCCCTCGCTTCTCACACAGGTTCACACCAGGACAATGTTGCCCGGGACCTTCAAGTACTCTCGAAGATCATTTCGCTTGCTACTTATCATTGAATGTGGGCACCACTTCGGGCATGGTACGAAGAACGGCACGAGGCTCTAGAGTTGTACCGAGACCCTTCATGCCCTCGATGATATTGTTTCCCTTGTACAGTTCTCCGACTCGGTTGGCCTAATTGTGCCGTTGGTCCACACTGATTCTGGTGATATCGCCCAGTCTATCTCCTGTTCTGCACCATCCGCGCCGTTGAGAATTAGCGTCTGATACAGAAGACGTGTATTGGTCGGATGAGCATGCGCCTTCGCATAGTGTTAGGATCGCCCCTGCTGTTGCTGCAACAGAGAATCGCACGTGTGCTGTGCTACATTCTTGCTCGAACGTCAAAGGCGATGCGAACGTTATGTGCTCGGAATGGGCTTCCATCGTCGGTCTAGTGAAACATTCCCCGCGCTGTCAGTTCGCGCCCTCGCGTTCGTATTGACGGAGGTTGAGACAGATACTTCTTTCGCTATTGCGGATCCGGCTTTATGACTTGATAAGAATCAATTGCGAAATGTGGCCCACAATCCGTGGCCTCTGGTGTCCGAACAAATATCTACCCGATGTAAGTTGGCCATGCGCCACGATGCAATTGGACGTACATGATATGCCCCTATGCCTTGTGCAATGATGGCTGGGCTTTCAACAGATCCGGAGCCTCTCGAGCCGGTCGAAGCTTGATCACTGCCGAGACTTCCTAACGAGAGGGCATGGGAAGGAGGCTATAAGCTGGAACACGTCGGGCGTAAAGCCTATCTATCGTTCGCACCATCACAATGCCCCTTGACGGCGATTTTCTCCGGTGGGCAACATTGCGGAATGAGCAGAACGCCGCTGACATCTCCTGCAGGATTCTTCGAAACGACGCCTTGCACTGTTCGGACGCTTTCGAATGGTTGAGAACCTCTAACTGGTCGAGGGATACCGAGAAGACGTTGAATGCCGCGTCTGAATTGGCTTCTGTCGTTGGTAGACTTCGTCGTCTCATCAGCAGCACCCGCCAGGTCTTGAATGCGCTTCAGTGAGTGTTAACTGTTCGCAGGAAGCCACATCTGACTCTCGTCGGACGAGACAGGTCATTCATCATGGACTTACCCGACGACATTCTCTTACTCGTCTTCTCCGAAGTCGTCTGGATGGACCCCCCCGAAAACGGGCTACGTGGACAGCCCCATGCTGCAGGCTGGATGGTTTTATTGTGGGTATGCACCAGATGGAGGCGCCTTGTGGAAGGAAACAACGTTCTTTGGGCGGAAGCATTTTCTCATGTTCCAAGCCAGCGACAGCTCTTTCTACGCAGAGCGGGGCGAGCATCCACTACGTTCGAAATATCGCCCAATGTTCCTCTTCTACAGGGTGCTCTTGCTCACGGCGGGTCTATCCTATACGGATTGCTCCTTCATTCCGATTTCTCTACCTGTGGGACCATCGTCCTTGAGGACCGCGGGGACGTGATCGCGTACCTCCGCCACATTCTGAACTTAGCAGAAGATGGTCTCTTGCCTGCCCTGAGAGAGCTGCGTATAAGCGTTAAGAACTCTACGGATCATCGTCTAGTGCGATTCTGCAGGTGTGTGAACTCTGAAAGATACCGCCAATCTTTAGGCATGGTTTTCTGACATGTTATCAGGAAGATGACTGGGTTTCGGGCTGCGATTTTCCGGATACCCAAGCTCAAGACCCTGTCCCTTACCAATGTCTTCATCCCGACGACCGCAGAGGCCCTCGAGACCATACAGCTTAGGCGTGTACACTGCTCAGCTATCACCGCAGTACCGAGGCTGCAAACAGTTGCCCGCACACTCATACGCCCTCATGCACACACGCTACGCCACTTAGAACTGTCACGGGCTTTCAAACTGGATAGAATTGCAGTCGCGATAGACCAGGTATGGCTGCCCGTATTACGCACCTTGCGCATAGACGGGGCCGTTACCTGCGTGCTCGGGGCACTGAGGGTCCTGCGTTTTGGATATCAGGTGACCAAAGATTTCTCCGTGGATCTGGATGACGTGCACGGGAATCCTTCTACTCCCGAAGACGCGTGCCGCGAAATCGCGAGCATATGCGGTGCGTATACCCATTGCCTTTCTTGCAGAAATGAAGTGACACGAGTACATAGGAAGAGGGTCATCGCAAGCGATGCGCATATGTTACCGTCATTCCCAGCGCACAAAAGATCAAGCCAATGCACGCGTACTGGATGAAGCACTCGACTTGGACGTTCACTTTACGAATGCGGCCACGCCCTCTCCACCGAACTTTCATCTACGCGTCCGCTGGAGCGGGGCATATGATTGGTGGATCTTGCTACGCTCGGTAGGGCGAGAATTTGGTAACAACGCTCCGATCGAAACGATCGTTCTCGACGTACCGCAATACTTTTGGACTCCACACCTCACAACACCGTGGATCCCTCTAGTTCAAGAGGTGCTTAGCTCCTTTTCGAACCTCACGAGTATTGCGCCGCGAGAAAAACTCTTGACCGCCGTGGAGGAGCGCGTAGGGAGGGAGCATCAGTTATACACACGCCTTGTACTTCTTTCACCTGTTGCTTATTCTGCTATGTAAACACCACTATCGCACAACATGCGGTCCCGGATGCCTCATTCGAGACGCTCTACGTCCTCAACGTGACATTTCTGGCGAACGTAGGTCAATATTCAATTCGCGTGTACCATCCACGTGCATAGAGTCCATGGGCTTCAGAGTAGGCGCAGATTGACCCCGGCAACAATAAATAAGGCGACGTATACCTAAGCCTGCTCGGCCACTTCACTATGAGCGGGTGTATGAACATGCGTTGGCCGGTGAGTAAGGCTGACTTGTGAGTCCTGCGCACTCCACGACGCTCGCCCCTGCGAATCGCTCTGCTCGCATCGCGGGGCTTCTCATGCTGAGTGTGGCTCTCTTACACCCGATGCCCTAAGCCTGAAGGTATTGGCAGTCGCAGTTTGTCCTTCGTTGCTCGCGGGCATGTAAAAGTAGCAAAAAGGGGGGGTCACTATACACAGTACAGTATGCGTACCATAACCGTAAACGGTGGGCAGAGGAGCACGGCGAATGTATGAGACGATGAGAGGGGACGGGCTTGAGCCGGTGATTGTAATGATGGATACAGTCATGAACAGTGATTGGCAGGAGCGGTGCATTCCGGACGTACTCTTGAACTGTCCTGAGTCCACGCCGCAAACGGCGTAGTTACTAGTCTATATGGTGACCGACTACTTAGCGCTTGATAAGTCGGATGGCTGAGACACTCACGTACCTGATAGGACATTCGATGTAGGCCTGTAGCGAGAACTGGAGGCTGGCTGCATGGTTTTCTACCAACGAGCTCTAGAGCCGTGTTTTATCGAGCGTCAACGCGAACGCCGTAGTCCTACTCGAGTAGCGTTTGTCCGTGAAAGAGCGACCGGAACGTATGCTGAAATCTAAGGTTCTCTCACCGTCGAGTTGGTGGACATGACGGACAAAAGTACGTGCGGTCGGGAGGATATCATGAACGTTCAAATCGAAGTAGGTGCAGACGAGAGGTCTTCGTGGCCGAGGGCGCGCTACGAGTTTTGCCTCCGACCATCACGTCACGACGAGTTCAGCCTCAAAGCCTGCGCTCTACATGCCAAGCCTCAAGCGCTAAGATATCGTGGAAACGCTCGATCTCGTTCACAACCTACGATCTCCTGGCTATGCCCAAGAGTTTAGCTAGGATGGTTTACAGCCAGGCGGAGAAGCGCGTGTGTACGGCCTCGGAAGTTGCGTACGATTCGTCTAATGGTCCCCGTTTTGAAACCAATAAGCTCATTGCGTGACAGGCTTCGAGTCCGTTAATGACGATGACCGGGTGCTATCAGAATCACGACGACCCTTCTGGTTAGATGGACCATACGTCCTCTACCGCAACTATGGCGTCTCTTTGGACGTATCCAACATCATGCGTACCGTACTCGATAGCTCGACAATCTCCCCGTTGCTGCGCAGCAAATCGATTACCTGAGCTGTATTATCTTTCAAACTATACGGCGCTACTGCGACTACCTGTTTGCAGCAGTGGATGAGAGCACGAGTCTATAGACGTTGCGTCTGGCCTAGCACGTCTAGCACTCAAAAATGATCCCGCAGGTATGTAATGCGTACGTGGGCGCGTTATGATAAACTCACAAACTACATATAGGCGAAGTCGGCGCATAGCTTTCATGCTCTATAGGTCCGTGGAATGTTTAGCATTGCCTCCGCGACGAGTTCGTTCAAGCCGGCGAGGATCTCAAGTGCGACGTGTCGATGGACCTACCATTTGTCGAGGCAATGTATGGAGAGGCGATGCGAGCACATGTGGATTGCTCTTACCGCAGGCGCCGCTTGTACGTTGTGCTCACTTTCGGTTCCTTTCTCGCAGGGAGCTTATATATGATGACTCTATAGGGCCGGCTGCCATCCAGTTCGCGAATGGAAAGAGTTTCTATATCCCAGCGGGCACCGAGGTTGCTGTGAACAAGGGGTTCCGATGCTCATGAATGGCGGTCTGAGCGATGACCGAGTCGTCGCCTTAGAGCGTCTACGGAGATCTCGGATGTATCCTCCTACTCGTACGTAGCGCCCATGATTGTGGTCAGCATTCCCTTGCCAGTGCTAACTCGATCTCGGAACACCTTTCAGATCTGGACCCAGGTCACCATCCAATACGTCGGTCGCGCTTTCAAAGACGAGGGGCGGTTGGGCCTTCGCCGGCTATACGTCCACCGTCGCGAATCCGTCGGTTCCGAGCGCGCAGACGATGACGAGCCGGAATCGCTGCTGGTCACCACAACCCGTTTGCATCGCTCTTTGGCAACGGTGCGCATGCTCACGGACCCTGAAGATATATATCCCGGCCAGGTTCTCGGACTTCTTCGATCTCTCGGCATACGATGCGATACACGCTTCGAACTCGGGAGAGGGAGTTTGCCGTGATCAACACGAGCGATGCGTATTGCCTAGTCGCTTTGAAGAAGGGCCGCGAGGTCTCCAACCTGCCGGAGATGAATGTTCCCAAACGCCGCACGAAAAGGGGACAAAGGCCGTGACCTCAACAGTACGCGGCCGACCATTCGAACAGCTCAGGTTTCCCTCCGCGGAATTACACCGAGCGCTCCATCACGAGTTGAAAACATGGCGCAGGGGATGATGAGCTTTGGATCGGCGCGGGGCGGCGACGGAAGAGACGCAGGGCGCAGAAGGAGAAGAGCAGTGTCTCGCATTCGCACGGATTCCCGCAGCGCAAGCCAAGATTCATCGCGCAGCTATCGCGCAAGGGCGTGCGACGCAATGCGGTTGATACATCGTCATCATCGGGCAAGAAGAGGAGCAACCTACGGCACGGCGGTCATCACGGAGAGAACCGCCACACTCACCAGGATGCTCTCAAAGAGGCGATGACAGGACGCGAGAGCAGTCGGACTTCCATGGCTCAGT